ATCCAAATGGGGTTTTAAGAATAGTTGTTGGGCGAATTAAACCCAGTGCGAAAAATCATATTTTAAAATCCACTCTATGTTGAAAAAACCTTAAACCATGTTAAAACAGCTAATAATTCGGTCCCAATTGGTTCAGGAAGCGAATTGCTTTTTTTTTTTTGTTATATAGAGATAAAAAAATGTTGTATTGCTTTGTAATTACTGTATTTGAAGATTTTTGTTTTGTTCATTTTGTTTACTTTTTCATTAGTATATCAGTCGAAATGCCAGATTGTAAAATTCTTTAGTATTATTTTGGATTTGAAGAAACGTGCTTTCATTTATTAATAAATAACCATTGATGACCAAAAATGTAAAATGTACAAAAATATGAATTTAAATGTTAATTTATAAATAAAAACAATATTTTATTTACTATTTACTTTGAAGTGATTTCGTATTTCGTTTTCTGAAGAACCTAAATATGGAATTAATTCCACTTTGGATCGGAATTCATTTCTGTGCCAGTATATTTAATATTTTTATGGTTTGGAGATTGATAGATGCATGCAGGTATAATTCCGATATTATATCATAATATAATATAGATTTCCGGTAATATTTTTAATAAGTGGATTTATCTCTGTAAGAAAATATACTCATTTATGACACATACACTTGTGCATACAATTGTTATTTTTATTATTAAAATCTCGTCAAAAGAGATCGCCAAATATTATTTCAAATTCAAATGTAAGTCCGCTGATGTCAATTAATGTCACAAAAACTTACCAAATTACCTATTTCCAATGGACTTTATTTTTTCATTTTACATTACCAATTACATAATTCATTTTCACATATATTACAAAAAATAGGTGTGTAGTAATATTACAAGTATAATTCCGGTATGTGGGGCACATCGATTTTTAGTATTCCGACAAGTGGAACTCTACGATTTGTAGTGTTTCGCCATGTGAAATTGAATTGTACTGCAGTAGGTATACTACGATTACGATTACAGTACGTTACGGCACAGAAAACTATCATACGGTACTATAATGTTAATTTTCGAACACTGCTTAATATAATGATGATTTTCATGGAATGACTCGCATTGCAATGTCGTAAAGAGTAATTTCACTAAAAGGACTAAAACATTGCTTCACAGCCACCATACGTATGTTCATGTTTAATATGCATATTAATTACATTTCATAACTATGATGGAAGGAAAACCGAGTAAAAAACTATGGTCTGATGATGGTATGCAGCAACAGCATCTGGTCAATGAATGATCAGGTGATTTTTAGTATGACGGAAGCAAATGTACCGAGGCCTGCACCCTTGGAGAACTGTTGCTGGAACAAATTACTTATTTCAAAATTTGAGGAGACCTCTGTTTTTACAATATGTAGATGGGTGGCTAAAGATGTAAAGTTGGAGAACAGTCAGTTATGATTAACCCATATTGAAAAGTCATGAATAGGAATCGCTGTTAGTGTGGACGTCGCATGTTTCAAAATAACGTATGCCGACCACTGTCATCGTCTATTAGAAAATTCAGACATCAATGTGTGTATAATGGCTAAATGGAAAGTCGTGCAACTTCAAATGGGATCCATTTAAAATGCACTCGCATCCGCGCCGCAACATAACTACATGACACCACGCCACCCCACATATGTTTGCATTTATAGAGCAATATAAACGACTCACAACGTACCGATAGACAGATAGTTATGTAGCTCTGAATAGCGCGATATAAAATAGTATTTGAAAGTTGTTCTACGTTGGCGAGTTCCTTGATGTTTTTATATGTTATCCTTTTAGTTATTACTTTCGCACTTTTTACCACATATTACACCCCTTTGATTTTTCCATAGTAAAATGTGATTAGGGCGTATAAAACTAGAATATACACTTACTTCCATTAGGGACCATTTTTAAATTCATGTAGTGAAAAGGATGCTGGTGAACCGCACTGTATCGTTTCGCTACTTTAAATTGCCAAGCAGTGACTCCAAGCACATTTCGTTGTTGTTACCTATTCGAAGCAGCAACGTCTTAAAGTGTTTATCTTGTGTCATGTTTCCCTTTAAAATTGCTCCATTAACATCCTTTGTTGTCTATGATGCTGCTGATGTGTTAGTATCTGTACGGATAATATCGTCACACAGTTGTCACTTTTCTTCGGCATTTTGTTAAAGGGGCATTGTGTTGCGACAAACACTGCCACACAACAATGCATTATTTTATTTGCCAACCATTGTATTTTTCTTTTTTGTGGTATTGTGTCTCAGCATAATCGTATGTGTTTGTGTTGATGTCTGAATGGATTTCAAATCGCTTTTCACAATAAACGTTAAAAACATGGTGATTATTTCCGCTAGATTTAGTTAAGAACGTGACAATGTTGTTGCCAGCATTCACGGTATTTACGTATGTGACACTGTAATATTCGCAAGTAAACGTACCTAACATAAAATGTATACACATATTTCACGTACATATTCCATGTCATTCAATTCTTCTTAGTATTGATTGAATTTTAATGCATTGAGTTTAGTTCTAGGATAAAACCAAAATCCGTTTTTACTGAAATTCACCTTAAATCCAAATAATATTCTTCACCTAAGACTCTGTGAATTATACTGAAAGTTTCGCGTTTAGCCAGACGGGTAAACCAAAGTATTTCACAAACATTTCATCTTTGCAATTTTAATTAGAAACCGAAACGGGCTAAGGTGACATCTTAAGCCATTCTGCATCACGCACAACGCCACGACAAGTCTTGAAAGTTCATTGTCTGGAAGTTGTGAATGAATGCCAGATAAGTTATGCCAGTTAAATCAGAGTACATGAAATTGAAAATATTTTCCTCGAAATTGTGTATGACGAAGTGAGGCAAACACCCACTCGGGCAAACGCTCAGACACTCTGCCCACTTTCAGACTTCAAAACCCATTTAATTAAAAATCTATGAAAATGGTTTTATTTTTATTAATTTCTCTTCGTTTACGTCAAATTAAAAATGGTACACAGACCGTCGAGTTTATCCTGGGGTTTGAGGAACGTTGCGCTGAGAATTCGCCACCACCTCATTAGCGTTAAATAACCTCGCATAATAATAATAATTACAACAACTATGCAATGGAAGCCAAAAATAATTTCCTTGGATAATGGGAAATGCAATGGCAAGGGAAGAATGGTGCAAAGTACGATGAAAGAACAGAACGTTATCCCTTTACTTTCCACAGCTTTCAAGTGACAAAGCAATGAGTAATTACACTCACTTAATACCAATTTACAATGGAATTAAAGTCCTGTGCCCTGACGTTGCTTTAGTTGGAAAGTTTGAAACTAATGTATGGCTTCTTTTTCATTATTTCAGCTCTCCGCTTGGACTTAATGTCGCCGCAACGACTCCCATTGTCATATTTCTAATTTTACAAAACACTAAACACAGTATTCCGTTTGCGGATATTTGATAAGTTTCAAAAAAGGAAATAGTTAAAAAAAAGTTGCAATACGAATAGTGTTTCAATGAATAACCAATATAATTTATGGCGAACAATTTAATGACTGCCCGAACTAAAATTTAGTAATGGTTCAAGGTCATCTTTTGTCAAAAATAGTTAGAGCGATTATGACGACGAAATCCTACCTAAAACCGATTTTGTACCGCGTTTGAAATTAAACGTAATTTTTCATAACATTAATTTTGCCCACCTTTAAGGGTACAATAACTTTAGTTAGCCCCAACAAAGCTACAAGTAAGCGAATAATAAAATGGAATTCATAATAAAAATGGGAGGCATAAAATGATTTCATGAGGCCAACATCAGGGAATTCTACTTGGGTAAGTTGTTCAATATTGAACACACAAATAAACATCATCTTAAAGAAGGAACAACGATAGTCCACGTAATATTTGCCTTATCTAGACTTTGCAATGAACATTCGACCAAAGAAGAAGAAGAAGAAGCATACATAAAAAGTGCCTACGAAGATGGCGTTGCTTAAATATTAACGAATTTAGGCTTCTGAATGCCAGGACAGGATACAAGTGTGTTTTGTTGTACATCCTTTATCTCCAATTGTATTCCGTGTGTGTGGTTATAAATTAAACATTTATGCGATTTGTATGTCAGTACATTTGTATATGTATAGGTGTGTATTTACATAGATATATATATATATATGTATACATTTTCTCTTCATTTGCCTTGTTAAAGGCTACTGGGGCAGGTAGTAGTAAAAATAAGCCTTGTCAGTTTTTCCTTTTAATACTGTGCGAAGAAGGATAGATATTAGTTAATATAAAGAAGTTCTTCGGCTATTTTAGCCAGGTACGTGTATTCATATCAACAATTGAGTTTAGTTGGTAGGATCAAAATCAATTAGATGCATTTGTTAGACCCTTCGTTTGGGGGATAGATAACGTTATAAATAAATTATTTCATCTAAATATATTTCGTCTTGGATTTATTAAAAAAACACAATGTTTTTCGTCTATTCTTGGTCAGTGAAGTTTTATGTATTGACATTCAGTAGATAAATTTCTTGAATAGAATAGAAATATAAAGAAAGGTGGTCGATGTCATCTTATATATTTATACAAAAATGTCTATTTTGATTTTTGGTCATTTTCAATTTACGATTATCCCTGCTACCAATGGTTCTGACTATGTGTTTCTATTAACTAATTAACTTTTAAAATTGTACATCATTCTTCCATTGAACGCAAATTACTACTTCTTTTATGTATGAAACAATTTATTCCTACTATTAATTCTTTAATTTACCCATAATTAATAACCAATATCGCCAGAAGCAATCATCATCATCATTATTATGGTTGTTATTTAAGTGATTTGAATACCATAGTTGTAATTTCCTTGTGAGTGTCCAATAAATTTGACTTTATTTTTAATTTGCTTTTTTGATTTTCTTCAAGGCACATACACACGTATTTTATTTTGTTTCCTTTTCTTCTTGTTTCTTTTTTTTCTTTTTAGCTCCTGAACCTGCAAAAAATGAAAAACCAAAAGGTATTTCTTTTGTCCATATTCTTCTTGTATACAAGTTGTGTTCTTTTAGTTCCTTAGTTGCCTAGAATATAGTTGTAGTCGAGAACAAATAACATCGAAATAAAATCCTTACAGTGGTAGTGATGTGGCATGCATGAATGAATTTGCACGGTTTTATGATAGAGTACTTCCCTAGTTGTAGATTAAACGTAAAATATAGAATTCAATAAGAAATGATAAATTCAAAGTAAGTATAAATGTGATGCATTTAACTAACTATATATATGGATAGTTAAGAGTTTAATAAACATATTGCTGGTTTGCTGTTCAAAAAAATGTTTTAAATATTTGCATATTGTTAAGACTCAGTAGACGCAAGAAAATTACATTGGTTTGACATTTTTATAGATATTTGTCCGCAACAATGGAACATATCAACAATAATGCAATTAACGTGCAACGAACATGTGAAACCCGCCAAAGCGTTTGGAAGTTGCATTTGTTTTGATCAAGTTAATATCGAAGTATGCCATATGGTATGACCAAATTTTGATCACACATAACATAACTCCCAACCCTTATCTATTACTTACCACAATTCTACTTTCGAATTTATCAGTATCCTTGTGACATTTATACGCTAACATAAGTCTCATTAATAATAACAAAAAACGTTTCACCATAAACTCCTTGACATGGCAAATATTTGTATTTTTGTCATTGGACCGTAATGCCAGATATGGAAACGTGTGTGCGATGCGATATAAAGTGAAATGGACCAACTGCTAATTTGAGCAAACAAGTTAAATTGCCATTTTGTTCTACAATAACATTTATTTCCTTCATCGTCATATCAAACATTTCAATCTCATCGTGGTTCCAGCTCACAAGGAATCCACGGTGGGGCTCCATGAAATTCATACCTTGACTGTGGCTGTTACATTATTCACACAATTGAATTCGAGCTGAACATTACAAATTTCTCCGCTTTTCTGAAGAAAACATGGAAAAAGGACACCGTGTCCTAACAAGAAGAGCACAATGCCAACATAGGTGTGAAGAAGGAAGAAAATGCAGACACGAAGCGACAAACTGTACAAATATATGCAGTGGTGGGGGAAAAGAAAAATTAATTTAATTTCTTCATTGAAATAATAAATCACGACAAACTGTCCTCCATTCCCCCATTCATTCAGGCATTCATATCATACATTATTCTATCATTTGTTCCAATGAAAAAAATACATTCTGCTCAAAGATGACAGGGATGTGCAGCAAATGTGAAAGGCAATGAATTTTACGAGCACGGGTAAACGCTATGATTTCAATTTCATCCCGTTATATCTTCTAATGAACATGAGAGAATTTTTTCTACTCCTTTTTTCGCATTTTTTGTTGAATTCAATTCAAAGGAATATCAATTTCAGTAGAAATGTCCAACAACATGACATTGATGATACGAAAAAAATATCTGTATATTTCAAGAAAAAGTTATCCCGTATTGCATTCAGGCGAGGTACATACATATATGGTTCGACTTAATGGTGCCTCAACTTGGGGGTGAACGTAGACGTGACATTATAAATAGGTTTCTGTGCCATTAGAAATGCATGCCGCCAACAATTAATAAAAAAAATAACACTCTCTTAATAAAATACTATTCGGAAACTAAAAATCTCAACAACCTTGAGAACTCTTTGAATAAAAACAACTATTCAAATATTTAGATCCCGAAACTTGCTAACAAACGATTCACGTTCATTTACACCGGAGCCCTTGTTTATTTCAACATTTATGGGCAAGAACACTATATCAACATTTGTCTTTATTAAAAATAAAACAACACTCAGAATCCCAAATGAATGTAACGCAAATAAAGACTAAAATCTATAGATTCTCGTAGCACAAACAAATTGCTAAAGTTTCTGCTTTTACATTTCGCTCTGAACTAAAACAGCACCAGTCAGTATGTCAGCAACCGACATTTGTTGCCGGCCAACGAGGATTTGACTTGCATAGAATGGTGGAAGAATGTTGGTCGAGGACGAATTTATCTCAAGAGTATTGAATGAATGGAGAACTAAGTGAATAACTGCCGTAAAAAAGTCGACAATTTGAAAAGAATACAAATTGTTTAACCGCAATTTGATTTTCCATTCTGAAACAAAATAAAAGGAAACGAAACGAAATGAAACGCTGGTGTGTGCAACAGAAATAACATTTGTTGAACTCGAACTATAGGTTGGGATGGTCAGACAGGCAATGTGTGGCAGCAGTGGAGTATCGTGTAACCCAGTTTTCCTTTTTTAGCTAGAACTACCATCAGCGGAGGCCGCCTTTATCAGAACAATTCGGTCGTTTGGTTTTACATATCATTATGACGACTTCATCGCGTTGTACTAAACCTGAGTTCAGCATCCCTTTTTGCCAATTTAGTGTACATACAACACATTTACATTACATACATATTTACAAGTGACACTCATGGCGCTCGATGCCGTGTGTGTGGTTGATGGTAGCAGCAGCTGCTACAGCATTAACTATGTTCAGCAGAATGAGTATTGGGTCACCTAGTAACCTGCAGACACATAACCTCAACTGAACAAGCATTCGTGCACTTGTGCACTCATACGATAAATTTATACGTAGCACATAATAACGCAGTGTAACCAGTTTTATTAACATTTTATTGACACCAAAGTGGTCTGCCCTATAGTTACAAACCACTATGAACTCAAAGTTCCCAATTCATCATCCGGATAATTTATGAAATCCAGTTAAAATAGACCGATACTGAAATAGTGGCCAATACAGACATTTTGTTTCAATTATCCGAGTTTTTCAATAATGCGAAGTCCGAAGTTCGAATTCAGGAATACCAGGAAAAAGCCAGCTTTTTTGAAACATTTGGAAATAGCTTCTGCCTCCATGTTATCCCATTCACCAATTTTGGCTCCCTCAGCAAATCATTTTTTTTTTTAAATTATTCTGAAGAAAAATCCACATTCTAAACACAGAAATTGTTTTGGTAGAATACTCTTCTTCCCGTATTGAAATTTTAGAGATCGAATGCTCGCTGATCTAATGGCTAAATTAATGACGTCATATTTGCTGGCAAAATTACAATGTTTACATTTTCTATAATAAGGAACAAACAACATGACCATTTGGAAGTAGTTTCGTTTTCAATTAACAAATTTTTCATTTATACTGGGTTTCAATTATGCGGTACAAAATGTGTGGAATATTTGAAGAATTATTACGTTCAACAATCTTTTAATTGACCGGAGTTTTTCAATTCTCAAACAAGTTTGGTAAAATGCATTAACAACTCCATACAACTTTGGATTTCTAGGATGTAATAGTATAGTCTGGGTTCTCTATGCGTACTGTTGTACTAGAACACACAATAATCACATATCTACTCGATGACATTTTATACAATAATAAATATCTTGTATATATTTTCATTACAGACTGGCGTAGTACAGACGGCACCGACCACCATGATCGTGTCCAGAGACAATTGTCCGTCTCATCCGACAGCAAGCTATTAGACGATGACATTAGGGAAGAGACGAGAGTCATAATGCGTCCCAAGAAACCACCCAGACCCAAATCAGAAGTATTCCTCAACAAGCAAGAGCAACATCCGCGTCGTAAACGTTTCAGTGCATTTGGGGTAAGTAAATAAGAACTATTCTTCTTAAGCCTAAGGAATATATATTCGTATGTTCATAAATAACATGAACGACATACATATCGTTAGCTAAAATGCAAAAAGGCGTAACTAACAAAAGCATAATTGTGTAGGAGAAGCAAAAAACTATTTTGAATGAGAACTATAAACATGTCATGTGAAATGAAAAAGTGTGCCCGGTAGGGTGATATTGGATATGACGAATAATAGACTATAACTTTTTTTTAACAAATTTAGTTATTTAGTTTAATGGCAGTCATAACAATTAAGTAAAAATTTGAATTTTTTGTTAGTTATGCCTTTTTGCATTTATCAAATAAACCCACTTGTAGTTACGTGTTTTTGTTTTTTGTTAATAGAAGCTCCTTATTTGACCGCAGACGTGCACAACTTTGTCAACACATGTAGTTTATTGACATTCACAATATTCATTTAAAAAGTCAATTTCAATTTTTTTTGTTAGTTACGCCTTTTTGCAATTTAGCTGACGATATGTATGTATTATTATAACAACCTCGATTTTCGATTTTCCCCGAATACAATGACCAAGAATTCCAAGTAATGAAGTAATTTATGTACGTGCATTGTTAAGTTTTACACTATTTAACACATATATGAACTTCTGAATTTGCACTTTTTTGACTTATAAACGATCAATTATTATATATATAGTTTTTTTATCTTTTGTTAAAAAATCAAATTGTTAAAATCAAATTTTAGTATATATTTTTTATAACCGCCGTGCATTTAAGCGTAAAATACTGTACTTATTTATACATAACTTCACGTGTTTATTTATTCCCCCTTGTGCACAGCACTAACATTAAACTGACAAAATAAAACATATAAAGGATATCAGAATTTTATAATTTACAGTATTTTTCGGTTAATTGACCCTACGGTTAATTGGTTTCCACGCTTAATTGAACCACATGATGGGACAAAAAATATTTCATAGGAAAATACATGTAAATTTTCTCGGATAATTAAACCCTGTTAATTGATTTTCCCGCTTAATTGGTTAAAAATTCATGTCATCAAAAATAAATTTCCTTTTACTTTTCACCGGTTAATTGCTTAATAATAATTGAAAAATAATCTGCCATTTTTTTGCATACATATTTGATATAATTTGTGAAAAAGACTAGGCGAGACCTTTATTAATTCAAAGCATATGTTTATTGCTAAGGGAAAACTGCGAGAAAGCGTAATTTGTATTTGACATTGAAGTTCAAATTATACGTGATTGCTGTAATTGAACAAACTATTCAATTAAGCGGGTTCGGATAATTGGTTCCTCGGTTAATTGAACTAAAATTTGTGCAAATTTTGATGTGCAATTAACCGAAAAATACTGTATTTAGTTTACTGTTACCACAGGTATTAGTGACATAACTAGTAACATTCAGGCATGCACCACATTATTTGCAAACACACAGCTTACGGATTTGTTGTTGTTACACATTGACTGTATGTATGCATGTATTGAATTCACACAACAAAGGGAACTGAAGAAATGTGCGCAACAAACGCGAAGCATTTCGTACGAAATGATGGTTTGAACGTTTCACACTTTGTTTGTTTTGCTGTTTCCTGTGAAATAATTCTCATTGAGTTGAATTTGCTTGGGACGTAAAGTGTTACCATTTGGCCTGTGAAAGTCAAGTTTGAAACAAAATTTTATCTCTTTTTATTTTCTCTTGATGGGACCCTTTGTCTGTTAAAGGCAAATGAGTGTCCCGAGCAACAAATACATTTCAGTAATAGTGTGCGTAAACAACACGTAAAATAGGTGTAGGAGTGTTTTTAGGTTTTTGTTAAAAAAAAAAGAAAGTTAGTCGAGTTACAAGGTTTCTTTTGTTGATATTGGTAGTTGGCGGACATAGTGATGCGTGTTCGTTGTGTCACCACTGTGGTAATTTTGGTACCTTTTCTCGGCACTGTCACTTTTTATTAATGTGCCACATCAAGGTTTATTAATAAGGTTAACCAGCTTGCGAAACCATGCCTTAGTTTTCTCTTGCTGTCAACTTTTTAATCGCGAAAAACCAACCAGAACAGGATAAAAATTCAAAATATTTTTCAAAAAACCGTAATGATAGTAATGTGCACAAATATTTTGGTTCAAATAAAAATATTGTTTTGTTTTTTTATTCTTTAAATAATAAATTTGACAGTCAAGGAAGACTTCGAATTCGCCTCCCTGTTAACCTTATTCATAAACATTGTGCCACATAATACCTTTGCCACTAAATTATGATGGTGCGCCTAGGACTGAATTTTTTTCCAATTTACAGGACATTTTTCATTTTATCAGATTTCTTGTAAATATGTATGTGTGTCACCTGTGATACTATTTTCAAAAATTATACTAATTTTATAAAATCCTTCCGAAACCAATCAAAAACAACAGATTTGTTGTGACAGCAAGAGAGATACTCTAACTTTAAACGCATTTTTTTCCAAGCTGTGTTGTTACGAATGGCGAGCACGATAACTAGAAAACTAATAATCCTGTCGGCTCCAAATTTTGACACGTTTCTCTGCCATTCTTTTAACTTTTGAGCTTTCTAACACCGTTGGAATTTCCGCATTCCGATGTTATCATGCCCGCCATCAAAAATAAGAACTTTCCTTTAGTCACCAAAGACAACAACAACCAAATTTCCACGACAGAGGGGTCTACGATCCGAAACGACCCGAGTCTTTCTCGGCCAACGTCTGTCACCTCAGCCCATTGTGTAAAAGCAATATTGCTGCTACAACAACAACCAAATTTGCAAACAATTTTTCTTCTCTTTTATATCAGTCAACATTTTAATCGCGAAACCCCAACCAAAACAGTAAAAAACACAAAATGTCTTTCAAGAAAACGTAATGATAGTAATGTGCACATACATATGTATATTTTTGTTCGGATAAAAATATTTTTTTTTTGTTTATTTATGTGAATTAAAAGTCTTCATTGACTGATAACAATAAAGACTTCTAATTCCCTCCCTGTTAACCTTATGAATAAACCTTGGTATATTCGAAATACATTTGCTATAAACAGGGAGAGATAGAGAGGAATTTTGGATTAAAACGTACCATTCAATAAAAATTGAAATCTATAATTAATACCTATTTTCTTGCAGGGTGATTCACCGTTCGGCAAACAGGATGCCTACGTCAAATTGGAACCATTAGGAGAAGGATCTTATGCCACAGTATACAGGGGATTTAGCAAGTAAGTACATTGAAAAGTCAGAATCTATGCTGACAAATCTTTCGCTAATTTATTACCTTTGAAAATTATCATAATCAGTCATGTCTTTCGGCTCACACATATTACCTGGTATATGATAATAAATCTATGATGTAAAGGAGTTCGTCAGCATAGGAACGAATTTTAAAACATATTTGTAAAATAAATATCGAAGGGAAAATATTGTCGGGCTGAATAAGTTATTATATGTCGTTTATTTCTATGTGATTGTCGGTATATGGTTGTTTATCTTTTTGCTGAAGTGTCACACACACGTTTTACTTCATCCATGTCCTGAAAGGCACACAACAGCTATGAATTTCCCTTACATTCTTGCACCGCTTTGTTCAAGGATGTCTTCCCATTTCCAGCATCATAAATTTTGATGTCGACATTAATGACCGCATTTTCAGTGATTTATAAAAGAGAGACTGCTGAGAGAAGAAACTTTGGAAATGTTTTCACACAAAATGTCTTGTTAAGAAAAACAAAGTACCCGAAAGGCGATTCATTGTTTCAGTTATCGTAACGAAGGACGATGTAAAAGTTTGAGAAACTGTTCGGATACGCAATCGTAAAGAATAAAATTAGGTTTTATTTATTTTCCAAAGTTTTACATGGCATAATTTTGCACATATATATTTGAAGATTTAAAGAAAAAGAAAAATGTTTAAGTGATTATTTATACTCTTTCGAGTCGAGCTTGATGATCTAAGTTTAGCAACGGAAAGGAAAGCCAGCCTTTTCATTGCTAAACTTAGATCATCAAGCTCGACTCGAAAGAGTATAAATAATCACTTAAAAATTGCTTTCAAATGATCACTGCCTACTTATCACTTATTGACTTCGCACAACAATTAAAAAAATGGCGGAACATTGAAAAATTTTTTTTTGGAAATTGCCCACAACCTAAGTTAAAAATGAGGAAGATCTAAGCCGATTGGCTTTATCCTAGTTCATACGATAGCTACACACTCACAACATTTGGAATCGATCGGATTACTAGTTTTTGGGTTATCGTGCCCGCCATTCGCAAAAACGCTGTTTGGAGAAAAACGTGTTTAAAGTTTGAGAAGCCCTCTTGCCATCACTTGATGCTAACACAATAAATCGGCTATATCTTCAACAATTGTTGAGATTTTCACTTGAAAATTTATAGGGACATTCTTGAATTAGTGTAGGTTCGAATTAAATCAAAATACAAAATTAAATTTTTCGAAACCGAGAATGGAGGGGGTCCCCTTAAAGTTATTGTGAGGAGATATTCTTCCCTCTGAGAACTCGATATGCGAAATTATAGCTGCTTCGTTTGTTAATGAAGCTAGGACCTTCAAAACATTGAAATAAATAGAAATTTTTCGCAGGCAATCCACAACCTGTTTTTGAACTTACTGGTCCATTATATTTCCGTATTCAATCTTATTTTAGATCATTATATAACTTGCCATGCATTTAAGTTACAAAATATCTAATGATATTCCTTCATCAAATATCAAACAAAACATTGTCTTTATCATATGATTGCATAATATATCATGATGAACATATTGGTTTTTAGGGTTTTATATTCTCTAAAAAAGTTTTATTTTAGAAGAAGCCACATACACGAAATTCAAACGCTATCATATAGTTTCCATGCCTTTATTTCCATGCCATGTTTGCGTACAAAAATGTCCAACTCTTAATACAAATTCTCAAAAATTAATTGCGCAACTCTTTTCATCGCCTCACACAGTGGTATAATATTTAGTACTAATTTTCAAATAATATTTATTCATCTCATTCTACTTGTAATAGTTAAATCTACCTACTAAGATAACAAAAAATATTTTTACAAATCACTCTCTTTTTAATAGCTTAAGGTTAATATTTTTTTTCGAAAATCACCTATTTTTGACCACAAACCAAGTTGAAAAATAAGGAAGATCTTTTCCGATTGGCTTTATCCTAGTTCATACGAAAGCTATACACTCCCAGAGAAACGTGTCCAAATTTGGAACCGATTTGATTATTAGTTTTTGAGTAATCGTGCCAGCCATTCGCAAAACACTGTTTCGAGAAAAATGCGTTAAAGTTTGAGAATCACTCTTGCCGTCAATTGATGCAGACACAATAAATCGGCTATATCTTCAAGAATTCTTGAGATTTCAATTTTCAATTTACTTATTAGTACATATTATTACTAATTTCATTCTACTGCTTCCATTGTAATACAATAATTAGTACTTTTTAGAAGCTTTTAGCGCAAATTTAGTATTTTTTTCACATATACCACTTAAATACTTTAACCTTTTTATTAAATAAAAAATTATTGCAAATTTAGGGAGGATTGTCGAGATTTTACTGTACATCGAAGTTCTCAACTCATTTTTAATCTGCTACTGTTCTAGCTTCTTGTGGGTGTTGAAATATAACGTGTACTATGTCAATGTCAAAGCACTGGAGTGACTCTTCATAATGATTATATTTTACTCTCTCATTCTGGCGCCGGTCCACTTTGTCACATCGGAAGGGTACGAGTAGGCGACATGGCAGTGTCTGTGTCCCAGTGGAAAGGAAAAGATTAATTTTTTAACATTGTTTAACGGCCCAAATGAGTTGGTTTATCCTTCTTCCCTTTTAGGCAGTTGCTGTCATTTTGCCGTCACACATCTGGCGGAAAGTGTGCGCTCGGTGTTCTCTCTGCCATTGATGTTTCTGTGTTTGCCTGGTGATTGATGGTTTCCAGGCAAAACATGTCACTGCGACTGGGATGCCACACTGACACATAAAAGATTCGTACGCCTATAGGCTTTAATAAAAATTGTCTTAGTTGTGGGAGTTTTTTCTTCTCAGAATTCACTTTCCGCTGCTATTGTTCTGATTATTATGTATTTTCCACAAATTTAATAATGAATGATGTAATTCTCTTTCGTGATTTTCGAGTGTTTCGTTTGGTTTTCAGACCGCCAAGGAGGTTCTTCAACACTTGAAAGCATTTTGTAAAGTATGCATTGTTCAAATTTGATTCAATGTACTGAAATTATCTACAACACTGTGCAACGCAAAAAATAATTTTTAGGGATTTCCAATAGATTATCAAAGAGGGGGTTACAAATAGAAGAGAGGCGTTTTGAAAGTTTACGTCTGGAGTAACATAAAAAGGGGGGGACGTAAAATATTCTTCCCCCATTTCAAGAGATTTGAAAATATTCGGATTAGGATAATAAAACCATAATCCGTTGGAATTTCATTTCAAGAAAAATAAATAAATAAAATATGTTGCACAGTGCGATTTTTTCTCTCTTTTTACCACCCTTTAAAAACCTGTACAATTCAGCACTTGTTGAATGACACAAATCTTTCAGTAAATGCCTATTTATACTACGTACAAAATCATATAAATCGCAAAGACTGGACAGAAAATAGTGGTGCTTATCTTAACCGGCGGATGTTAAAATTAAAAACTTCATTTAGAGTCAATATTTCTACCACCGAAGTTTACTCTGATTACAATTGTCCGATATACATTCTTTAGAAGCAGGTTTGACTGTTGAAAGCTTTTGTCTTTACAACAGCATCGTACGAATAAATTTCTATATTTTGTGAATGACAGATTTTTGTCACCCATTATCGAACCATAGCCTACATCCTTGTTTTAAATTATCTACGAATACACTTAAAATGCTAATCCAAGGAATGAATAACACACTCCAGTTCCCCAAAGCTGGAATAAAAAACTTCTGAAATGACAAAAAGGGAAAACATATAATTGGAATGAGATATTTGTGATATGACTGTGAAAGGATTACGTAATTGCTCCCGCACGAAAAATGCAAATACGTTATGAAAAGTGAAATTCCAATTACATAACTGAACACAATGTACTAAGGACTGCACATACAGAAAGTCGGGGCAACACTTGAGCGACTCATACACGTGATGTTGTTGAAAAAAGGCCCAAGACCATCATTGATACCATTTTGTGAACGTACTAGAGATAAGCAATGATGATGCTAGCTCGTGCATGTGATAAACACAAAAAAGTGCACACATGGAGCAGCGTGCCACATAACAGTATTGAGGCGAACAAATGACAGTGGCAAATGGCAAAAATCTTAAAATGCTCCAGTTTACTACACTGCTGCTAATTGACAACTGCAACATCTCTGAGACCAACGACAAAGACGCACAAGCAAGGAAAATCTCAGTAGAGTAGCATTGTGAAACTAGAGCACTGACATTGAGCCTTACAGCTGAGTTGCTTTTGTTGAAAACAAAAGATGGAACCTCGTCCATACGATTAACATGAACTAACATAAAAACCTTTTAACCCTTATTGTTCATTGGCTGCAAGACAGACATAAATCAAATCTTCTGAGTTAGAAATGCATAATTGTTCGCTATAGCAGGCTTCATGTTGTGTAATCAAATCAGACCAATATCTCTTACACATTCTGATTGGGAAGCTGTAGAAGATGATCTGTTCCTTGTAAGGTGTGAGTCGATTGAAACCTAACATTTTTTTCTGCAAAATCAATTTTTTATTTATGCCGGTCTTGCAGCAAATGAGCAATATGTGAGATATTTTAAAGATTTTTAGGCAAAACCACGCTAAAATGCCACCAGAAAGCTAATTTCTTTTTCTGAATAAAATCGATGTTGATATCACTCAACACCAGCATTAATCATGCTGGATGGGATACTGCTATTAATCATGTATCCTTTTTGAAACATGTATATGTTCGCTTTTTGTACATTGGTTGTAATACAAATACAAAATTGCTTGTTGCCGTTTATTAATTATATAATATCTAAAAACATGAAGGATAATTTGCAACAAAATGACCTATAAGCACCCAGGAAAACCGAAGGCACGAATACACAATCATTCCAAAATAAAAAAAAATTGAAATTAAACTGAGTTCAAAACTAATATTTGTACTAAAACTTTATTGTGTTCGAAGGTGGGAATTATTGGTCTACCCCTTCCGGTACCTCCGGTACTATATTTTGAAAATGTGTGTATATCTTATAATTCTAACGGATTATCCGATTTTGTAAAACTCTCCACGTCGTTATATTTTAGTCAAACTTTCTTTGAATTTGAAAATGGTATTTATAGATTCACTCCTTGTAGTACCTCCTACTATAAAGGGCCAAAATTTGAAAATGTGTGATTCTAATACAAAGCCTATTAATTATCCAATTTGACCCCCCACTTCGCACACATGTAATATTTTTACTAAATCTAGATCATATCCGCATATGTAGCTCATCGGTCCACTCCTTCTGGTTACTCTCCAAAGGGTTTATAACTTTAAAAATGATAAATCTAGATATATTCCGAAAATGGGTCCTATGGATCCACTCCCTAGGTACCTCCTCTATAAATTGTCAACATCTCGCTTATTTCTGATTTTTTCTTTATACTCTCATAGCCCATGTACTAATAGAATGTTGTGAAGGTCTAATAAAACGTAAAATAAATTTCAAAAATTCTTCAAAATTTATCCACATAACTTCATACAATTATATGAGTAAAATAAAGTAAAAATTTTCGAGTTCATAAAATATTAATATTATTATTGTTTCTTCCATAAAATATTAAAAATATAATCCCAAAAAATGGACTGTGGTTAGATATGGTAGTCCTACTTCTTCAAGAAAGTGTGTAAAGGTGTATTCCTCCTTTTCAAGTACAAGTCCTTTTGACCAAAGTATGTACATAAAATAGAACAAGAAGAACTAAAGAAATTTCAAAGGTGTATTTTTATTCATTTGTAATGAACTTTTGCATTGCATACTTACCATAAATACATAAATAGTATGAAAATAGGGCCACCCAAATAATGAGAAAGTCAAAAAAAAAAAAAATATTCCCGCCCATATTCTTGTGGTCAATATCACTAAAGCCTTCCACAAACACCAATAATAATTTAGTCTGCAGACTATAATTTATGCTATTTAAACTATTCAACATTTGCAGATGATATTCTCAAACTTGTTACAGCTACGATGCCGCATCGTAGTCAAAATTCGTCAGTCACATATTGCGTTGGAATGTTTTTTTGCGTTTGCGTTGTTTGTTCAGTAAAATATGTATGTCACACATATGGAAAAACATTGCAATTCACTAGGTAAACAAAGTTTCACAGCTAAGTAAGTAAGTAAGTAACAAAGTTTCCTACTTTTTTGGGTCCATTTGCTTGTCCTTAACATTTGAAGTAAAGCACCAACACACCACTCGTAAAAGAATGAAACGTAGGGTTCATAAAACTTAACCTTATTTGCCATTTGTTGGTTTGTTTCCGTGTATGTGTTCGTGTGTCCTTATTATCCTAATTTTATTGGGTTTGTCGGTACAGGCTGAGCTCTTCTTGAAGTGGGCATTAGGAATTCGGCTAGCATCGTAGCAGCAATTTTCATGTCACCATTAATGGCTGTTGGTATGCCATTTGTTGTCATTTTATGAGTTGGCGCGTCGTAATAAAGTGTGGCATTCAACTAATGTTACGTCTCCCCACAAATAAAAAACTTTGCATAGCTTTCTTGGTTCAATTTTTTGTTGTGCAGTCAACGCCCAATATAGCGAATAATTGTCAGGCCCATTCGTTATAGCGAAAAATACGTTATACATATCGCGAATTTTTTTAAATTGCATTTTCTTAAAAAAAAAATGTTACAAATAATTACAATAATAATAGCATCTTTACATATTTTTTAAACGATACCCCCTTAATATTTTGCACCATTCCTTATATTCAATAGAAAAATTTGGGAATTTCGTTATACAGTAAAAACTCGCTAATCCGGATAATTGATTGCAGACCCCAATCCGGATTACCGAGATTTCCGGATTATCGAGTTTTATTAAATGGTTTAAATTTATATTAATTTGGTGATAATTTAATTATTTTTATTGTTTTTTTTAAAAATGAAAATTATTCATTTCAAAAATATGAAATTTGCAACGATTTTTTTTTATTAAAATAAAAAGTAACGTATCTTTACAATCCGGATTTTTGAGTCAAATAGGTCAATCAATCCGGATTATAAGATACGCAATGGGTTGTGAAATGCAGTCCGGATTACCGAATAATCCGGATTGTCGAGGTTCGGATTATCAAGCTTATACTGTATGTGAAAAAGTGGATTGTTTTGCTCATTTGTTACATCCCGAATTCGTTAAACTGAGATTTCGTTGACTGTACTTAGCATATTAAATATGACATGTTTGCCGGCAGACAACTGTGAAAATGAACAGAAGCATATTAAAGTTAAACAAATGTTTCAAATTGTGCAAGAACTTCGGTGAATATATCTAAATGAAGCGCACCATCACTTTGGGATTGTGCTATTTCAAAACATGAAGCAATATAAGTCGAACTGTGCCCATACCAAAAGGGGATTAAAATACTAAATTGTAGACAATTCGGAGGGTCTACAGAGTAGAGTGATATCGATAATTTTTGGTAGGGAGATTCGCTCGCTACCCAATGGAAACTCATAGAATCGAATTGCAGGTAATTCGGTTAAAAACGTGCCAAAAATTCCCGAAAACGTAGGCCGATACGTTCATAAATCGACATAGAATTGTATTCTGATCAAGAATATATGTATAGACTTTATGGGGTCTCCGGTGAATATTTCAAATATTTCACTCCACCTTCTGATGGAGGGTAGAAAAAGCTGTAATACTTAAAAATCCTACCGCGGCTCTTTTCTTCCTTCAACTAAATACAACAAGTGTTTTATAACAATATCAACAACTAATAATTGAAAATTGTAAGACGCAATACACATACAAAATTATTTGCTCCCATTATTTTCTACATACATGTATGGGTTTGACAACATGTATATAACTTGTTGTGGATTTTTTTCCGCGAAATACGAAATTACAAGCTCTTATGCTGAAAAATGTCCTTTCAAGTAAATATTATCTAAGAAAACGGGGTATAAACTGTGGAAACACGAAGTGCAATATTAAAGACAATTGCATTGGAAAATGGTGATTAAAAAATTCAAAATGCAAAATGAGACTGGGGCACATTCGCAATGGCGTTTTCGATGAGATGCGCTCATTGTACATCACTAGCTTTGATCCATAGGTATCGAATTTCAAAATAAATAGATGTAGCAAAGTTTGAAATCTCTAGCTAATAAACATATTTCGATGCACGGGTTTTTGTATTTTTACAGATTTTTTTTGTAATATTTCCATTCCATTTCGTAAGTTTTTTGTGTATTTAACTTTTAAAATTTAAAGACAGTTTTATTAAAAGTCGTTAATTACAATTTTTATTATTATAAAAAATATTCAAAAATATAATGTTTTTAGAAGATCGATAGAAAAAATTTTAAATCTTTAGAAATTACCTTTGTGGTACATTCGACCATATACTCCTGTATATATACTATTTCCTTTAGTTCTTCATGCGTTGATCTTTAAAAATCATCTTTTAATTTTTGTTATTTGTATTTTGCTTTGAATGAAATTTTAAATTAAGTTAAGTTTTAAGTTAAGTGATACTCTTTTGAGTCGAGCTTAATGGTTCAAAATTACGTATATAAGACTAATTTTGATTAATCTATTGACGAATAGAATAGAACCTTTAGAGGATCTGAGTTCCAATCAGACTGATATCAATGATAATTACCAGGTTATGAGTGCCGAATGTGTCCCATCAAATGCCGAAGCTACCCGGGAAATTTGACTTTTTTGACAAAACGTTAAAAATATTTAATACCAATACGTCGTTTGTACTCGTACTCGCTTTTATAATTAAGTAACAGAGAACAATAACCAGCCATAAAGTTTTTATATCTGTTGAATAAGTACGATATAGTGCTTTAAAAAGTGCCGAATGTGCCCCAGTCTCCCCTACTTTTAAAACTGAAATTTACAACTTCAATACCTCAAACCAGAGTTGAATCACTATAGATTTCGTATATAAACAACACATGCCAAATGTCCGACATACATAAAATGAAAAGTGTCGATTCGTCACTTCGAAATCGTAAACACCTTAAATCGTAAAGCTGGATAATTCGTATATGCCATCTCATTCGTCTGACCGGACAGTACACCACGAATTTGTCTGCATTAACTGTTATTTGTTATGCTCAACATGAGCCTCTAATGACCGGCGATGATAAAATTGTGCAAATATTTATCACCTAATTGTGATTAATCGAATCTTTTACTCTTCTTTCAGACTAACTTATCAACGTGTTGCTCTAAAAGAAATCAGACTGCAGGAGGAGGAAGGAGCTCCCTTTACGGCGATACGTGAAGCGTCCCTACTCAAAGAACTGAAACACTCAAATATCGTAACGTTGCATGATATTGTACATACTAGGGAAACCCTAACGTTCGTATTTGAATATGTGGTAAGTAGACAAAACCTGAAATGATTCGTTTCCATTCTTTTAAAGTTTGATGTTTGTTTTTAATGTTCCCACAGAATACCGATTTATCTCAATACATGGAGAAACATCCCGGCGGATTGGATCACCGCAATGTGCGATTATTTTTGTTTCAACTTTTACGTGGCCTCTCCTACTGCCATAAACGCCGTGTATTGCACCGTGATGTCAAACCTCAGAATTTGTTGATTAGCGATTGTGGTGAATTGAAATTAGCCGATTTCGGTTTGGCGCGAGCAAAGAGTGTACCCAGTCACACATATTCACACGAAGTCGTTACGTTATGGTACCGTCCCCCTGGTAAGTATTCGCGGCATTCTATGCAAATCTCGGGCAACTTCCCTGTTTGTTCGTGTGCTCATCTGCAGTCTCCATTTATTTTCTATTAAGTATTGCACGTTTAAATAAAATCTCAATAATAGATTAACTGTTAAGTAAACGCAAAACACCATCACAACCACGCAAAAGTCAGACATGACTTCCGGTAGTACCAACGGAAGTTTAAAACCAAACGCCAGCTACGACGATAGGAAAATAAAAGAAAGCAAACAGCGAAGGGGGACCAGAAGAGGAACTAGTCCAGAATGTTAATTTAGAGTATTAAATAATGTTCCCTTTTCAATTACATCAGATGTAAACAAAAAACTGTTCTCTGTTTGTTGGAAATTAAATATTCCGAAAAGGTTTTGGGAAATCTAAAACGAAAAAGAAAACTTTTGTGTTTGTCAGAAGAAATGTAAAACAGAAGAATTAAAGAATTTAACGAAGTCACTAAAAAAGAGTTAAAAGAAAAATTAAATGGAAATCCGCGACAGACATTCCTTTGTTCCTGTGTGCTGAACAGTTACGATAGAAAACTTTTGGTTTTATGTTAATCTGTTTTCTAGTGAAAGATTCTACTTCATTCGCCAAGCAAGCATGACAAGACTCTGCGTTATACAAAGGGAATTTAATTGAATTAGAAATGTTCTGGTCTTATTTGCATTTTTTGTTAAATATTAATCAAAAATTGAAGAAAAAACAATCATAACATGTACTTATTAATAAATATTTAAATACGTTTCCAGATGTCCTGCTCGGCAGTACGGAATACTCGACATCACTGGATATGTGGGGCGTCGGCTGTATATTTGTTGAGATGGTAACTGGTATGCCAACATTCCCCGGTATACGTGATACTTACGATCAATTGGATAAGATTTTCAAACTACTGGGCACACCAACGGAAGAGACATGGCCAGGCTGTACACATTTTCCATGTTATAAACCGCATAAATTAGGTACGCTCTGTTTCTAGCCTAGCAAATTACACATTCTAATACTTTCTACCTCTATTTTAGGTTTTTATCGTCCTCGCAAATTAGGTCACAATTTTCCTAGACTATACGACATTGTGGAAGGTGAAGCGATAGCGAATGCCTTCCTTCAATTAAATCCCGATGAGAGGATAGGTGCCGAGGAGGCATTACATCATCCATATTTTGCGCAATTACCAAAAAAATTATATGAATTGCCAGACGGTAAGTAAATGAATTAGCTATTGACTGCAATAAGGTTCATTATATATTTAGAAATATCGAAATATGTTGTGGTAGAACTCAAGACGCAAGCTTATTAAATTCACATAAGATGTTTAATGATTTTATTACCTACATAGTCAGTCATGCGAACGCAAATAGGAACAGGGATAGCTGGCTATTCACTCAATTCAAACATAGAAAGATAAATTAACGTTTACAAATTTCCAATAAATAATTGTAAAACGAAAAGGATACGTACATATGTGAAAAATATGTATACGCGTTGAAGGGATAATGTTCAAATTTGAAAATTAAAGTCAAGTTGAATTTCTTGTCAAATAGTTATTATTCTTCTTATATTTTTAAAATGTTACCTAAATTCCAACGAGGCTTTCAAAAATATTCAACTCCCCCGCTATAGCAGAATGTTTTGTACGGCCGTATTACACAAATACGTCGAATCCATATCTCTTAGCAAACTAAACAAAATCGCGAAACAAAATTCAAAAATGATAAAATGTTTTCAAACATTTCACACTCTTATTGAATATTTTATATTTTATTTTGTGGTTTTCACTCTCCCCAGCCTTCGATGGAAAATGTTATTTATTTGCGGCATTTATATTAGGTGGACTACAGTGATGGAGGGAAAAAGTCTCATGTCAGAAAAATGATTAAATTGATTTAACACTAGATTTCCGAAGGCGGTCATTTTGACCGTTTTTCAATTTCAAGTACAAAAACAATTGTGTATATTATGACACAGCTTTTTAAAATTTGGCGACTTTTTGTACCACATAGAACTACGTTTATTAATCACAGTAGCTGGCTCCCCCCTTCTTTCATTCCCCGTATTCACGTGTGCTATACCTATATTGCCTAAAATCGGACATTTTGACCTCTTGTGAAATATTAAATAATCAAACTACTTTTATTATTGTATAAAGTAAATTCTTATATTACCAGATCACTACAACAACATCGAAATCCGTTTGCTACTACGAACACACAAATCGGGAAAAATAAATTTTATATTTCCAGTCAATTTCACTCTTAGAGTACACACTTAGTCTTTTTCGAACATTTTGTCCGCGCTCTTATTTTTCAAAAAGGGAAACTCGAGAGCCCTCCCACCGAAAACTAATAATAACAACGTTTTGCATGATTGTATATAATGTAAAAAATATAAAAAATAAGTTAAAAAAATCTTTACACAATAAAAATTCTTTCGGTATGAGGTCATTTTGAACGATTTTAGGCAATATAGGTAGGGGAGAGGGGGCACCTTTGAACACTTTTTTCTTTCAAGCCTTATAAAATTTTTTATTTTATAATTTTTGGTTTCTTATAAATTTTAACTAATAGGTACATATGTAACCTTTAAAATGAATATACATATGACATACTTTAAGCTTGATAAATATATTTTATTACTGTTTTAATGGACGAAGTCAAAGTGTTCAAAGCATTTTTGAACAAGGATTGGCATTTTTGAACGACATGGTTTTTTCCAGTGTTTATGTTCAAATATGTATGTATTTTATTCATACATGTCAGATATGCATTTATCCATTAAAAATATATATAAGAAATGTTCAAAATTTAAAAAATTTAGATCAAAATTTATTAAAACCTAAAATGACTTAAAAACAAAAATTAATATGGCGAAAAATAAGTTAATTTCGTAATCTTATTAACCCATTTGAAATTTTGAGAAATCGAAGCCAAAAGTTAAAAACTCCGTTTTTTACTCGAGTTTAATGGACATGTTCAAAGGTGCCCCACCCATGGCATTTTATGGAAATTTATAATAACTTTTTTGTAATAAATATATATGAAATATATTGCATTAGTTATGTTTGAAATGATTGTTGGAATGCAAAAAATTTGTTTGACGAAAGAAAACTATCACAGAATTCTTCTTGCGCCCTTACAACCAAATGAATAAAAGTTTACAATGGCACTGCGAAAACATGGTCACCCATGCACAATTTGTCGACAAATGAAAAAGCAAGCCAAAGTGATTTACGCAGATAGAGAACAATATTTTCATATACAAAAATGTGGTTGCGGGTCGGAAAAATTTTAAACCAAGATTTTATGAGCGCTGTTCAAAGGTGCCCCACGTTCAAAGGTGCCCCTTTCTCCCCTATATACAAAATTCCAGTCTTTCTAGTGTTAAATACGGTTTTAGGCTAAAAGCATTTCTAACAGACCGAGATGAAATGTCGTTCATTTGTTTATATTAAATTAAATATGCGCATCGCCATCATAATGCTTTGTTTTATTTGTAAACATTTTTAATTGGAAATTAATTTAAATATATTATCTTTGTGGCAAATAAAATTATATTATTTGTATGTGAAAGTGTATTTTTTCACAATATTGCGGTTGTATGGCATAGTGGGTGACAATTTGAATTTGCGAATTAAAATTTGTAAAGCGAAACTTGTTATTTATATATTTAGTCGAACTGTAAATGGTTCTTTATTATTTAACATTGCTGTTCTTCTTTAAACAACAGAAGACCGTTGAAGTAAATTATTAATTTTTGTATATTTACAGAAACTTCCATATTCACCGTTGAGGGTGTGCATTTGTATCCGGAACCCAATCGACAGAGTAAATGAAAATTAAAGCAAGTCCTTTCAGTGGACGGTGTACGTTTCTACTGTTAGCAGTGAACATAATTTCGTCGTATACAATAATTACAACAACAACAGCAACAACAAGAACTACTCCAACATTAACAACAGCCATAAAAATAATATCTTAAAAGTAAAGTTTAATATGAAAAAAAAAACAAACTTAAAGTACACTAGACTTTCCTTTTTTATAAAATAATTAATAGTTATTATTTTTTATTACCTCCCATCTCTCTCCTTCTCATTACCTTATATATGTATACTTACTCATATAGTAATATTCATTACCTTTGTTTCATTTTCAATGTGATCAATGTTTCTGATACTTTTCAACAAAAAAAAAATAGAAATTATAACAAAAACAAAAAGGTGTGAACAACAACAGCAGACAAAGAACGTAAAACAAAAAGCAACAACAAAAAAGAAAAGTCGCGTTTTGAAATGATAAAAACATAGTCGTAAGTAACTAAAATTTAAACAATTATATATAAAAAAACCTAGTTTAACTAAAAAATTATAAAATAATAAAGGAAAAGAAAACTGTTTGTAGAAGAAATAATAAAAAAACGCCAAAAATCGAATGAATATGTAGTAAAAACAACTCGAACAACTTTTAAAAATGAATCTTAAACACGTGCCTCCAGGTCCTCAGGTCCTTGATGAGCGTAAGCACCAATTAAAAAGTCACAAAACAACAACAGCATCAAAAGTAATTTAAAACATAAAACAAGAAAAAACCTCAAAACACAAAACGAACCGAGAAAATAACACCATTTTTAACACAAAACAAAACAAGATATATATGCAAAAACCTATTGATAATTTTTAAGCACTAACGTTAAAAAACTTTAAAAATTTACTGTTTGGACCACTGTATTTGAAGGAAAATATAGAAGAACACACTCTTAACATTTCACTGGAAGTATAAGCCAACCTTGTTACGGTTAAACGAAACACAACGATTGGGAGTCACATGTTCATGTACGCATTCACTCATCACAGGCATTTGTTATAGAAATAAATCACCACGATTCAATTCCAATTCTTCGCTATGCTCACCTCTGTTAAAATGATTTCTGTATATAGAGATTTGCTGTATGTCGTTTATAAGATTTTTATATGAGAAATATAAATTTTAGTGCGTCAGTGTTTGTATGTCTTTTGGTTTCTTCCAATCGTATTATTTTCATTTTTACATTAATTTAACTATTATTTTTTATTTCTACTTTTTGAAAATTAAATTTCAATATTTGCCAATATTTTAGCACTTGTGTTATTTTATTACTTTTTATAATTTAATGTATAATTTTTGTATTATAGCAAAGTTAATAAATGATAATCAAACATTTAAAATCTGTTTTTTTTTTTGTTTTTGTATATACATCAATCACACAAACCTACTTTTAAATATTTTTTTTTAATAATTTTACACATATGGACATTTCCGCGGTCACATGGACTCTTTCGGAGGCAAATTAAAACTATAATACAATTAATTGTTTTCAAATTCATCCTTAATACGAGTATTTCGGTTGTTATCTTCTGAGATAAAAGCCATAAAAGAGCGGTCACTCACGCGACTTGAAATAAACGTGACTTTAGACAACAGTTTAAGTCGATTATAGATTCTGATACAAATCTTGATTTTCTCGAAGGGTTTACAAAATATATTACGTTATATGTTTTATCATGTTTAAGGACACAAGTCACAAACAAAATTAATACTCCTTAACAATATTTTTATAACAAATCAAACCCAAACCTTTAAATATCTTAATAGAAGAAAAAATGAAAAAGATATATAAGGCTTTGTTATTACACTTTCAAAATTTGGCCCGTCCTTTTTGCGAAAGATTATTCAGGTTCACTTACGCGATATTTTTGTTTCTGCAGTTTTTATTTTTGCGTATCTAAATTTTTTGTCATTACATTCGTATTTATGCTAAGAACAAGAAGACACAATGGAAAACGTTGTCGTCTTTCTTTGTACTTTTCCGTAACTTCACTTATAAACGTACAATTAAAGAAACCAAACTCTACGGCTTTGTTTGACCGTTTTCGCGGAAGTGTTCATATAGATAATATATTGAGCAATATGTTGTTTGAGGCTAATACATATTACATTTCGAAGCTTATTATGTAAATTCAAATATTAATGGTTTGTATGGTAATTAAATTAGCATTTATTATTCCTGTGGAATGCAATAATCGCAAAGCATTGTTTATTTGTTGTAAAATGTTTACATTTCATACATTAGGAATTTGTGTTTAATTTATCCGAGTAATGAGAATAAACATTATCTCCTTTTCAATTAAATTATTTCATCGCTCCTGGTGATTAAAATTTTGTCAGATCCTAATACTCCCATACGGAAATATGTTGCGACATTGGATATTGACCTAATAGTAAATGTATATAGTTCAATTCTAAGCTAAACAATTTTTCGTTGTAATCGTTCACGTATTAATTTCGAATAGTTTAAAATCGACAGGGACGGCAGATAATTCAAATTGCGCAAAACACAACAGGGCCGGAAATAACCACCACCACCAAACATAGCAATAGAATAAAGTTAAATATCAATAAATAATTACAAAACAAATTTTTACACAAAAAAATACATACACATCCTCACAAAATGAGAAAAAAAATAAATCAAAAAGGAGTGAAGCAAAAACAAACAAAAAATTAAATTTTAACTAACAAATCAAAAAAAAAAAAAATATATATATATATAGTAAAAAACTAAGCTAGACCTAAGACAAAGAAAACTCACTCGACGGAATAATAACGTGTAATGAATGCGGAACCTACTACATACATATGTGTATGTCTTGCCGGGTATTACTACTACTTAGGCAATCTGAAACAATGGTGACAGTCGTAGGGATTGCCGATAAACATAAAAAGATATTTGATTCAAGACAAACCCTCAAGTTTGAACACAACTCTCAATAAACATTGAAATTTTTTTTACAATTTTATTTTTGGGACTAAAGTAGCAAAATAATATTAATCATGAACATACGACAAATAGTAGATCAATTAGAATTAATATATTAGAAAAGCATGGTAAATAATCTGACAAAAGTAGTTGACATCTTGAAAAAATACTGAAACTTTTATAAACATTCTATTTTTATTTTTTTAATGGTGAGCGATTTTACATATACTACTAGGATTACTTTTTATTCTCGAGACTATCTCACCAGACTTTGATGGGTAAATAATGTTGGTAAAATGCGAACACTTTCCAGAAATGATATGTACATTCAACATGATTTTGTAGTCCGTGAATCGTTCTATAAACAACTTAAAATTTTTTCTAAATACACTCGAACTTTAAAAACTAAATATTATTTTGTTGGCCAGAGAATTTTATATTTTTCTTGGGAATTAAAACAGATTGGGGTTTCTCAGATCGAGGAAAATATGGTTGTACGATTATGGAAACAACGCAAAACTATGAACAGCAAATGACGTAGGTGAACGAGGTATTTAAACAAATAAATTATGCTGTGATTTAAACAAACAACAAAACATTAAAAATACTGAACAAATTTAAACAGAAATAACAAAAGAAAACACTCATTGCGTAGAGCACTTGACTGTCCACGGTTCTAAAAATATACACATAGTAAAGAAACACATTTTGGCATTTTCCTCTTTTACTTGCATTGAAATTTGAAAGAACAATAAGACTTTAGTTTTAATTGGCAATCAAAAGCTGCGCTTTATTAGCTCTTATTTTGATCCAATATAATATGGCTTCTATATTTAAATTTTTACGCGCACTTGCAAGCAGCAAATGAAAAAAAAAAATATATATATAATAAAAAATAAAAAACCAACAATGAAACGAAACGGTAACGCACTTTTTGCACTTTCCCATCCCGGAGTTACGTCCATAGTATTTAAGCAATTTTGTTTTGGTTTTTAGTTATGGATTTGTCATTAATTCGAAAGGTTTTTACTTTGATGCAAAGCAAAGCTTGTCATTAATAAATTATTTGTCTCCGTTTTTTGGTTCCATACACGCACGTGTATAACTTTCTGCCATAAGTATATACATAGTAATATACCGACTGTTGTAAGAATATCCATCTGACAAAGGAATAGAAAATGTTCGATAAGTATTACAAAATGAACTAAAATACGATTATTTAAATATGTAATACTAGCTTTGCTACGAAAAAAAACGTCTGTTGGTTTATTTTGGAACAACCGCTATTTTGAGTTTGTGATTTTTTTCCAACTATTTTACTTTTTTGCGATTAAATTTACATCTTAGTCGTTTATAATATAGTAGTGTAGAACTGAACCATTTCCACTTGATCATCCAACAACCTATAATTACCTTTTATAGGTCATGGACATGAAGTGAAAAAACCTGTACTCTTAAAAACAGTCGGTATATTATATTTAGTATGCGATAAACTAAACACACTAAATACGAGAGGAAATTAAACATTAATAAAAAATATACATACATACATATATTATGAAGTTTACTGTACCTTTGTTTTAAACAAACTGAATATTATTGCAAAAAGAAATATATAAAACAAAAATGAAACACTGAATTTGTTTAGAAAGTTTTGCCAAGTAAGAAAACGTTTTTAAGAAAATAATTATAATGAATTCATATATTTTGTATAGCAAAATTATAACCCTTGACCCCTCGAACAAAAACCTAACATAGAAATACTTTATTAAGAGATTTCCATGTTCTCTATTTATCTCTACAATAAAATAATTTGTATATAATTTCCATAACACCTAAGTAATTTAGTATAAATAATTAAGTATTTGTTGTCTCTTTAAATAATAAATTATGAAATCGATATCTTTAGCATTAATAATATACCAAAATTAAAAAGAAATAACTGATAAATAAAACAGTATCAAATTTTAACAGAATTATGTTCAATACCTATGTACAATAACTTCTAAAAATTAATTATTTAGAAATAGTCAACAAATTTGAAATTGACGAGGAAATGATAAACGATTTGATGTTAAAGCAAATCAAGTATTTGGTGATAATTGTACATTTTAACCTCTTTCAAATTGGAAACACTATTGGCAGCAATGGAACGGAGCTGATCGCCAAAAAGGGCCCAATCCCAATCAAAACCTTTTAAAATCCAAAACCTCAATAACCAATATGTGCGAAATTGAACTAAATGAAAATAAAATTGATACTCAAATGTTACGGAACTCAGCCAAACAACTTAGCAAAATATATACAACACTGATTACAAGGTCACCGTGTAATTGAAATAATGTATTAATAAGGATTTATCAACAATTTCTTTAAATAATAAAAAAAAACGAATGACGTACTAACCTTAAGGTTACATCAAACAAATTACGAAAGAAACCAAAAATTGTTTTATTTTCTCTTGAAAGGCATCGACAATCTCAGTACAGTAGTACTCTCGTTAGTTCATCCCCAAAAAATTATTAGGTCCTTTGATATATTTTACATTGTATTATTTTTAGGTTCACGTTTTGTTATCAATAAATGTTATAGTTATGAATTGAAGCAGCTAATAATTCATTTGGGATAATTTTTCTCATATTAATGTTATGTTTTACCGAATAGTTACATTAGGCATTCGCGCAAATAAATCCATCAAGTTCATTAATTTTGATCGAATGAAATGTCCGATTTTTACCAAACTTAAATCAATTTAGAAGATGGGTCATTTCGGTCCACTCCTAATGGTACGTACACAATGTAATATTCCACACTTGTTAAACTAATCTTGAAACTTCAATTCTGTATTACTAATATTCTGTATTTGAAAATTTATTTTTTCACGTTTTTGGATCCACGCTTTCAATAGATGGCGTTAACGGCAAGTGTTTACCAGTGCTGCCAAGTTTACAGAAAATTACAGGAATCTTTGAAACTTTTGGATAGGTAATGATATAGAATTAATCAAAATTGATATTAATAACTTAGATCACCTACTATCTACTAGAAAATATATACCTATAGAAAATATATATCTACAATACAACAAACGTTATGTCTAAAAGAAATTAGGTATGCAACTTTAAGGAACGCATCGTCAGCGCCATCTATTGAGGGGCTTGATTCACATCAGGGACATCAGTATTTCGTGTCATACTTTCGAAACGTATTACTTTTGAACAGATGATCGCATATCTACAAAAGTGGTTTCATATGAAAGCGTAAATAGTCTACTTTGCTATGATCACCAAATAAGTTTTATAACAAAGAAAATGTCAATGTTGGATTTCATATTTGAAAATTAAATAGTGTTGACGCTTTTGTTATTCCACAAGATAGTTTGAAATTGCATCTTTCCTATGACGCCACTTTAATTTAAATATCTTTTGCACGACAAATGTTATGGCTAAAATAATTGAAATAAATTGAATAATCGGCTTAATTCAAAGATGGGGTCTATAGGGCAACGTCTCTGGTACCTCTCCACAGTGGGGTATGCATCAGAACGAGTAAGCCGAAAACCTCTATCCCGTCGTAAGTTATCATGCGCACTAGCAAAACGGGCGGACATTTTTAAATCGGTTGAATGATGAGGCATTATTGTTGTCTCACATTGTATTATTAGCCATAATACTGAGGGTACATAAATATAAATTGCATTACTAATTATATAACTTTATTTTTTTTTTTGTTGGTTATTTGAAAAGCATCGAATAAAAATAAAAATAAACAGTAATTCTTGAGTATTTTTGTGGTTATTAAAAATGAATCTTTTGGCCAATTGAACATATGACCATTGACATATGTAAAGAAAGATGAATAACAACATATATTGTAAATATTTTCATGGAAAAATAAAAAAACGAATTGGGGAATTGAGGTATTAAATGTTATGTCGAGGCATAACTTATGTCGATTATTATACGCCAATGTGTAAATTAAAATTCGAGGCCAAACCCAGAAAATTATTCATTAAGTCAAACTGTAATATTTAATGTACCACCACGAGTTTCTGATGAAAATTATTCCACACGGGTGTGTGTACTTTATCGCAAATGACCATAAATTTTCCTTAGCCAAAATAATGTAGTTCGCACAAAACAAACAAATTTCGAAGGTGAATTTTCTCAAAAGTAAATTATCACCTCATCAATTTTAATACAAACAAACGCTTGCAAAAAATTATAATAATTATTTACGTTATATAAACAAAATGAATGATTAAATCATTTGTTGAATAAACGCCACAATAGAAATAGAATTCTTTCTTATCTTCCTTGGTGAAACACAGATGTTTTCTCCAGTCAATAAAACGAAACAATTGAACACTAACAGCATTTTCATGATTTTGACGATCGTCCGGACCATACAAAATGTATTTAAATGTATATATTTGTTAGGATGATTAAATCAGCCCAGACAGAACGTCAATAATGTTACAATCGAAATTAAAGATGATTGTATTTCAAAGTATTGTTCGGATATACATATGTGTTGGTAACGCTTCAATAAAGGTGTTTTCATTGTGGATTTTGATATTTTAAATGTCGTTATAAACTATTTCGACTGTAGTGAAATTATATAGTTGTTCGAATCCAATAGGCTAATGGATCATTGACGATGGAATTCATAGAATTAATATAAAACGAACATGAGGGATATAAAATATGGATATGATCGCAAAAACTTTGAAGTTGTTTATTAGTTTATCAATACATTGTTCCACAGTTTCCATTAGGGCGTGTTTGAATAAAATATTAAACACATTAAGCCAAACAAGACATTTTTGTTCGATTTTACAGCACACAGAATAAAAAAAAAACATTCCACTTATTAGAACAACTCAACATCTGGAAATGGGTCTACATATTTGTTTGAAGCATGATTGCCGCAATTAATAAATTCAGAATCGTGTTTGTCGTATACATTGAATTGAAGTGTGTCATAGCTATTTAAAATTTTAATAGTTTTTATAAATACAAACGATGTATGTCACCATGCCTTTTGTTCGATCTTTGGCTTTAATGGAGTCTTAAAATAGTACTCGTACTCAGGCATCCTTGAAGTGTATCTTAACGCGCCTCTGTACTTTACGTTATTCAACTGAATTGTTGTGCATTGTAGATAGTTGTATCGTCTCTACTACTAATACTGCTACTATTCTACTGACGGTAATTAAAGAAATTCTGATTTTTTTATTTTATTTAAGAAATGTATTTATTTGTTCGAACGGCGCCGTCATTACATAAACAATTAAAAATAACTCAATGCAATTAATTGAAAATACTGATTGGAATATTTAATGAATTCACTTACATAGATCTCCGATCGCCACATAGAAACGAAATCTATCGTCAAAGGGAGTGGGAATTCCATGAAATTGGTTTAATTTTTAAGAACTTCTTTCCTTTGTGTCACTCAAAATGACATACATATATTCTGTGAGTATATGTGTAATCTTTCGCTTAGGGACGTAAACATCGTTATGTAATCGACGTTAGTAAACGTCGATTATTATTACCTTCATAGGATAAGACCAAAGAATCAACTCGTTCCTGTAATTTATCGCACAAGGACAACGCGTCCTAAATTTGCTGATGTTTTCCAAGCTGTTTGTGTATAAATGGCCGGGGACGTTGTACTTAAACTTGTCATCAAGAGATCAATCATGTTTAAACACTTACGATCAATAGCACATCACAAAGACGCTCAGTTTTTAAACCGAACAAATAAATTCCACGTTCGAGAGAAGAGACGTCTACTGCAAATAATCAATGGCCACAACGATAGCTGTTGCTTTGGTTTCGGTCTTTGGCGCAAATTGTAGTTGTTTTTGTTTTCTTTTGTGCTGTACGTTTCTGCGAAGGAAATCTCAAACTGACAGCGGAATGATCAACAAGTTTAGTCGTAACGTAAACGTCGGACGGTGCGGTTCATTCGGTTTGTGGCGAACGGATAAGTTAAATACGCGCGAGTGTTGTGTCCAAGGCGCTTGCCATTGTCATAGTTATAACAAAAAAAAAACCCACAAATTTTATGAATCATTGATAACCAAAGACGGGAATTTGATTAAAAAAAAAAAATATTAAAATAAAAGTTAGCAGAATCATCTTTAAAAATACCATACAATGGGATTATTTGCTAAATGTAAACACCTCTACGAGGTGATATTTGTAATTTTAATGTTCGGCGTAATCAACTGTCGTACGGAAGAGTTGAACCCAACCTCAGCGCCAGTTCCATTACAACACAACCAGACAAGCTGGCAGCAGCGACCTGCAGCACGTAACAGTGTACAACGTTGGAAAGCGGTGGGTTTTTAATATGACAGGAACTTTCAAAACATTTTAAATGTTTTATGAACTAAATATATGCTATGAACATTAAAGAGCTGTGACATTTACATGATGTGTCGTGTTAAATTTAAATGTACTCTACAAATATTATTATTAATTCAAATATACTTTAATGATGGCTGGAATGAATTGCTTCTTTATCTCCATTATCAGATTTGTAGTGTATATATAACCGTTCTGGAATTATTTTGTGGTCTAGATCAATATGCAACATGCAATGCAAAGAAACTGTATTATTCGTACGATTTAAACGAAAATAAGTTAGTGACAATATCCCACCTAAATACACGTTCATCATAATAAAATTTTACAAAAATATGCTTAAAGTTCATTGATCTGCCAAGTGCTAATAACTTATTTGTATATGTATTTATTTTACAATACACAATATTGAAACAAATTTCACGTCACATCCACAGATGATGTAGCCGTATAGCCAGTCATAACAAATAATCTGACTGATTGGTCTACACAAAATATTTGTTCTTGGATACGTGCTACGAGAAGCCGGTTAGATGGCTTATTTGGAAACAAGCATTTAAGTTGGAGTTCCTAAAAACACACACAATAATAATACGCTGTCATACAAGAATTTGAAACAACGTAGAGGTGATGTGATCTTGAAAAAAAAAATAAGAAAACATTAACATTGAAACCCGTACCTGTCGCACAGCTTTGCTGATAAGAATAAGTTGGACTTTTTGATGATGACTTGGTTTATACTCAAAACGAAAACAAAGCACAAAAATACGCATCTGAAACATGGATAGAAAATATATTTATGTGAATTTCCGACAACTATTATATTTTCCAGAACCATGCACCTGCTTCCACCTACACTTCTCCACACTGTGACTACAAGGAGCTGCTAACAAATCTCCATGACCGGGTTAGTCTAATGGTTACCGTCGATGAAGATTTGCGTCAACGACTGGATACAATTGAAAAGAAGTAAGTTGTCATTATATATTAAAACACGAAGAGACACGGGCTAAAAATCTAATTTTTATTACCAATTGATGTAAGGTAGATTTGCCTTAAGAATTTGAAACATCACACAATCTTATGAACCAAATCGAGAAGTGGTGTTTCATGGTTATGCAATGATAATTACAGAATTCTTCAGAATATTGTTTTCTTATATTTGCTCTCAAATAGTGTTTAGTTTCGTATATTGCTGAAGTTTAGCAGCAGAGGAGTTTGGTATTAACATTTCCGATTTTTAGTTATAAAACTTAAAAGGGTCTAATTATTGTCCAATTGTTAAAATTTTCGATATGATTCACCTCAACCTACTGAACTAATAATCTAAATCCCAAATATACACTTAATTTTTCAGGTTGCTCTCATTTGAAAACAAAGATATTGTTTTGTTTACTTTATGCTTCATGTATGGAAACTGTTGCCCTTCTTAATAAGCATTAATAAGCTCGTACTCTGCGTTCTCTTTTTGTAAGTCATTGTATTTGGCGGTTTCTCATTTACTCTCCGAGCATTTACTCTTTGGACACCTGTATATTTATTGTATTGAATTAGCAAGTCAACGCCTCCCTAATACCATCTTCAATGGCATTTGCCAAAAAAAAAAAATGTTTATGTGTTGGTTGCTTACCTTTGTGAAAACACACTGCAAAAGCTCAACTTCGACCTTTAATAGCCAACAGAGATGAGAAAAACTGGAAACTAGCCGACTTGTTTGTACAGTAAAATTCGAGATATGTAATATCATGGTTGGCAATAGCGTACAATGACATGCGGTTAATTGGTGGCGTTATTATCTCAAAAATACATTTGGATTATACGATTTTATTTATTAAGGGTTTTCCAATATAGAAATAAATAAAAACATTACATAATGGAAAACACTTTATTATTGTTAAAAATTAATGATTGACGATATATCCACGGATATTGATTTAGAAACCATTTGAATTTCCGCAACTAAATTTGCAAGAGGTATTGGATATATTGCGCATTTGCCAATAACTAGAAAAATTAAAAAGAAAATTTAATTACTTAAGTTTTTATGTGTTTTTTATTTATAATATAACTTCGTTTTGGATCAACATAAAAATACAACAATTTGTCCTTTGAATTTATAAACTACAACATCACCAATTTGGTGCTCAGTTTCTTTATTCCGTTAGTTAATTACACTGTGCGACACGAAAATTTTTCAGGCGTTCTAATGTACCAATTCTGTTAAGTTGGAGTCCCTGGATCACGAAAATACCTTTGGTTTTTCTGGGTCACTTCGAAAATTAATTTTATAACGGTAAATATAGAGAAAACCGTGGTTTCATGGATTTTCCATTTGAAACTTGAATAACTTACTTACTTTATAACGGATTTATATTATTCTTTTTTTCTTTCGAAGAGTACAATTTTTCCTTTCAAGCAAGATATATATTTGGTAAATCGGTAGAGTATTGGCTGAGTTACAGCGGTTGAATTGTGAAAAAATACGCATAAAATGACAAAATTTATTTTTCTTCGGACTGTACGATGAAATTATGATATGAAGCCATATAAGTTTTATTATATTACGGGGAAGAAAATTAAATTAGCTTTGGAAAATGATACAAATCAAAAAAATCGGTTCAAAAATGGATGATTTATACACATTTTTGTATTGATTCTAGGCATATTCTCTAAAGGAACTATGGGTCTATCTCGTTTCCTTTGCCTGTTACAAACATAACGGTTTGTAACAGGAAACGATACAGAGCCATATTTCCTTTAGAGAATATGTATAGAATCAATACAAAAATGTGTATAAGTCATCCATTTTTTAACCGATTTTTATCATTTATGCGTATTTTTTCACAATTCAACTGCTGTAACTCAGCCAATACTCAACCGATTTACCAAATATATATCTTGTTTGAAATGAGAAATTGTACTCTTCTAAAGAAAAAAGAATAATATAAATCCGTTATAAAGTAAATAAGTTATTCAAGTTTCAAATGGAAAATCCACGAAACCACGTTTTTCTCTATATTTACCGTTATAAAATTAATTTTCGAAGTGACCCAGAAAAACCAAAGGTATTTTCGTGATCCAGGGACTCCAACTAAACAGAATTGGTATATTAGAACCCCTGAAAAAATATTTTTTCTTATTTTGTAGCACAGTGTTATTTATGTCAAGTTTTTAAGGTTTTTGTCTAGTTTTTTTTTTGCAATTTGGGTTTTTTTAACTCGGTTTTGTACCGAACTAAATTCAGAGTTCATGATCAAAAACGATTGACAAAAAGAGAAAAAGTAGAATACGGATTTAAGCACCAACGATGTCGTACTATTTTGTTCATACGTGCTCTAAACCTTTCAACATGTAAATGTATTCAAACGAATGTTTACTCGAAGGAGCACGTAAAGGTAAATTGGGGTTCACTATAACGAACTGGACTGTCATTATTCGAACGAAAATGTAAAAATCATCCAGTTGCTTTATACTTGCGAATCGATTGTAAAGACGCGAAAAATAACTAAATACAAACATTTTGAAATATAATTTACATGTGCCGTTTATGTTTTCCATTCAAGTTTTTACAAAATAAAATTTAACAGAAAACTTACAAATACTGATACCTTTTTTATTTGAAAAATGTAGATTCACTGGTGGTCAACATACCATAATTATTTTGATTTTTGTTTTTGTTGTTCAGTAGTGTTGGCGGTTTATTTCGGATACCATTTGTATTTTGTTTTTGCAAAATAGTCAGGCTGAATCCCAGTTTGTTATTTTTATAAAAACGACAAACGCTAATTATGCGCATTTCAAATGCATTTTACAAAATATAGTGTTGTTTTACGATTATTTTCTACTTATAGAATTCCATGGCTTTACCAATTAGTAATAAAATCTGATTAAATTAACATTATTAATTATATTTAGATTCCAATTATATATCCAACATATAGATATTTCATATAATATTCCCAATTTATTTATTCCCAACATATAACATAAAATAAATTTCAAAATACATTACTTTTACATTTCAGAATTGTTCAGTTCGAGGAAAGCAATTTGGTTCGCATGGATTCATTAGCTGTAGCTCAGATGGATTTTGACAAGCACTTGGACATCATGGAACACATACAACGTCTTACCCGTCGTGGTGTTGATGAACTCTTAGGTGAATTCGGAGCATACATGAGAGCACTAAATCTCTCGCACATTCCCGATAACAGAATTCATGCCTCAGGCACCGCCGATGGTAATAGCATGGTGTTGGATAACAATTAGTAATTCATTCCAAATTAACATTTATGATGCACTGACTTGCGTATTCCTAATTAACCCGTTAAAACTTTACATAGTACACCCAAAATGTCAAGACAATTTACCACAGAAACTGAATTGAAATTTTTATTTCGTTTTTAATAGTTGAATTGAATATTTTACGCAAAACAAAACGACAGGCCATACCCAATCCACAACAACACCAACAGTCGTCATCATTGCCAATCAGTGATTCACAAAAATTGGATGCCTTGGCCACATTGTTGACATCGACAAGGGGGGCCATAAATGCTTTGCATTTGCAATTACAGGCGAATGTCACCAGACTGATGCAGCAAACTGGGTACGTATTGAATTATTGATTAATATTTGTAAGAGTATAGGCAGAAGTCTTAAATGTTCTAAACATGTCTCAGATTTTCGATATCATTCATGTTTATAATGGTTACGAAACGATTTTTTAGCTGTTAACTATGGCAGTATCGGGTGATTCTAATCTTACCAAATTACGTTTGTCGTCAATCGCCTCCTCATCTTCTGTAATTTTGAACGTTGTATATGTATTTACATTTCAAACAAAACGCCGCTGTATTAATTATGCTTAGAAATATTGAAAGTGCCAAGGCCACTGCCAGTTAATTGTAAAACACTTTAAATCTATCTTTTGAGTATGCAACATATAACCATGATTGTAGGACTTGTCGCTGAAATTGCACTATTTCTGATGTCTGTCGATGCATCTAAAGTAGGTATTTTTAGAAGCAGATACTTTAAAATAATTGAAACTTTATTTTTTACACACTACAATATTATGTTTTGAGGGGAATATAAGGTTGTTAGACCCATACAACACTACGTCGACCATCTGACGATGTGTCCGTTATAAAATTAATTTAAACAAACTAAAATTTTTCATTCGTTCTTATTTTTCATTATTAAAACATTTAACATTGATTCCGATATATTTATTTTACATAGAAACTTACAAAGGCGTGTTAATAATCTAGTACGCAGACAACAACATCAGGGTGCAGTTGTCAGCGTTCCGAACTTTTATGCCACTGCTAATACCCAACAACAACTAACAACGAGTTGTGCTCAAGGCGTGACTCCCATAAATGGCATATTAAAATTGCAGTTGACACCTACATCAGATCCCTTCTATGTCGCTTGCGAGGATCAATTGGCAGGTGGTGGTTGGACTGTCATTTTGAATCGTTTCAGCGGTGACATTAATTTCCAACGTGGCTGGATCGAATACAAGCACGGATTCGGCAATCTGGCTGGAGAATTCTTCATCGGCATGGACAAATTGTATGCCCTGACGGCGTCGGCAGTTCATGAGCTTCTAATTACTTTGGAAGACTTCAATAAGCATCGTAAATATGCCCGTTATAACCTCTTCGCCATTGGCAATGAAATGGAGTCGTACGAATTGAAATTATTGGGTAAATACGAGGGCGATGCTGGAGATTCACTTACCTACCATGCTGGTAGCAAATTCTCTACCTTCGACAACGACAACGATGGCTGTGTAGATTGCAACTGTGCCCAATCCCACAAAGGCGCCTGGTGGTACAATTGGTGTGATCAATCGTAAGTCTGTATGACAATAGAAGCCTCGAAAGGTAATTGTTAATTTTGTATGTGTTTCAGGAATTTAATGGGACCCTATCATGCCACCGATTACGACAAAATCGAACCATACCGAGGAATATATTGGCAGGATTGGCTGGGAGCTAATTACTCTTTAAAAGCTGTCAAAATGATGATTCGTCCTCTGAATATTGACTTAGAAAGGCGCTGAGTCTCTACTCTGCGGAATACTTGATATTCGGTTCCTGTTGTGAATTTTGAATTTTGTGTGTTCAATGTTGTTGTGCATTTTATATTGAATTGTGGCCACGCGTGTCACATTTCGCCATGGACAAGCGGCATTTGTAGTTTATGTTTAAATTTGAATAAATATTATCTATATGTATATATAACCGCATCAAAGATCAATGATTATATGTTGGCTGAATATGAACAAGCACATTCTAATGAATTCAAGTGAGTTGCTAAATTAAAAAATCGAGAAAATCCGTTAGGCGAAAGTTTGTTTTTCGGCATAAGGTGTATATATTCTGAAAGTACGTTTCGAGACCTTTCAATTGATGTGGGTCTCCATACTGCATCAATTTTAGTTTTTGCGCAATATGGCGTTTTCTACACAGAGTCCCCACTGTCACTGAGACTTGCAAGGAAAATCGAGAAAATCCCTTAGGCGAAAGTTTGTTTTTCGGCATATAGTGTGTATATTCTGAAAGTACATTTCGAGACCTTTCAATTGATGTGGGTCTCCATACTGCATCCATTTTAGTTTTTGCGCATTATGACGTTTTCTACACAGAGTCCCCACTGCCACTGAGACTTGGAATGAAAATCGAGAAAATCCGTTAGGCGAATGTTTGTTTTTCGGCATAGGGTGTATATATTCTGAAAGTACGTTTCGAGACCTTTCAATTGATGTGGGTCTCCATACTGCATTCATTTTAGTTTTTGCGCAATATGGCGTTTTCTACACAGAGTCCCCAAAATCGAGAAAATCCGTTTAGCAAAGTTTGTTCTTCGGCATAAGGTGTATATATTCTGAAAGTACATTTCGAGACCTTTCAACTGATGTGTGTCTCCATACTACGTCCATTTTAGTTTTTGCGCAATATGGAGTTGTCTACACAGAGTTGTCTACACAGCGATTATACCATCTAGACACACGTACGAAACTCTGGGGGAAGTTGTTTCGAGTTGGTGTCAAATAAGGGAAAACTAAAACAAAAAAAAGAAAAAAAAATAATTAAATAAATAAAATAAAAGTCAGCAAGGAGAGAATCGACAACATTAATGAAAATCATCCGGTTACTAATTATTTCAAAGACTATTCTTTTAAAAGAACATCTAGAGAAAAAACACGACAATCAATTTCTCCGCCGCAAGAGAATGATGAAAGCGGCACCCAAGTTCTCTGACAAAATATAGGGATACCCACAGAACTTAGAGAACCAGGACTTCTTGCTGAGCCCTAAAATTGACATGACGCATACTCCTTGACCAGCCTGACCAGGTAGATAATAACTGTCTATCCAATCAGAAAAGATCAATAAAAACAAGCTCATATTCGGTTTTCCGAGGAACTACAACTATTAATTCTATTATAGTTACTTCACATCAAAAACCAGTTGCTATGTAAAATTTTAGTTGTTGCAACTGATGCACACACCAATTTTAAATACACCTTGGTTATAGCATACGGTTTCGATATCTGACAATGTTAAAATATTTATTCTTTGATTTTGACAAGTAAAACTACGCCATTACAATAATAGAGTATTCAAACAATTTTATAATCCCAAAAACATAACCCTACTTCCACAAACCCAGATTTTTCAAATTACACACTAATCTGAAATCATTAGTGTGATGTGTCAATCTTTAGTTTTAAAAACGCGGATGTTCATGTGTATTCCCTGCAAGCAGCTTATTTAAAAATATAATTTGGCCACGAATAAAACGAAACAATAGCAAATTAACGCCAGAGACCACCGACGAAATGAAATGTTACTGTTCGACGTCATAAACTAATTTTGGCTGGGAAAATTTCCCTAATTTGACACGCAATTTCGTTCGGCGCATTCTTGATCTTGACGAATACCGACGTTATAAGTTCAGTTTGTGAAAATATTTTGCACAACTATCAACAATAGTGGACAAATGTCACATCGGAATTTCACGCTTGCTTTGGTGTCCTTAGTGATATCCCTGATAAATGGAGAATCTATGAAATTAAGTTCTGCCGTACACAAGGCCAATATATATTATCAGCAGCCGTAAGACAAATGTTGGAATATTTTTGAGTAAAAATAAGAAATGATTTCAACAAACAGGCTTCAGAATGGCACACGGATGGAGTTTCCCTTGGATATGATAGACGATTTGAAGAATAAGACAAATATTAAAGTAATCATTCATGGATTTACCGGAAATCGTTTTCATAGTTCCATAAGACCACTTGACCAAGGTAAGGTCGATCAGATTGGTTGATGTTTGAAACAGCAAAAAAGGGTTGAACGTTTTTGCTCATAAATCAATTTCAGCCTACATGGCCCAGGGAATAGACAACGTTTTCCTTGTTGATTGGAGAGATGCTGCAAAGCTGGACTACTATACTTCACGAAAAGCTGTTAATGCTGTGGGAAAATACTTAGGCGAAATGCTGGAAAAGTTTATCGCGTGAGTGGAGTAATTTTACTATTTTAGAGGAATAATGACCTTGAAATAATATGAATAATAATAATGCAAATAGGAAACATGGAATAACGCTATCCGAAGTTCATATAATTGGCCATAGTCTGGGAGCCCATATAGCAGGAAATATTGGACGACATTTTAATGGATCACTGGGAAGGGTGACAGGCCTGGATCCGGCATTGCCGTTGTTTTTCCCGAATTCGCCAGATAGTTTGCAAGAGAACGCAGCCATGTTTGTTGACGTCATTCACACAGATTATCCTGTTTTTGGCGACATAACACCTCGAGGTACTGCTGATTTTTATCCCAACTTTGGCTATACCCCTCAGCGCGGTTGTGAAAGTGTTGATATTGTAGCTGCCAGTAAGTTAATTGTCGATGCCTGTAAGTTATGCCATTCTTTGCTTAACGGTTCAATAAAGGGCATAATTCATAGATAGTTGTAGTCATAATCGCGCTGTTACACTTTATGCCGAATCCATTGGCCTGGCCAAAAATTTTCCTTCAATTCCTTGTTCATTAAAGGCTATAAGAATGCATTCGTCTTCAAAGTGTTTGGACACTGCCGCAAAGATTTCAGTGATCGATGATGTGGGCGATGGTGTCGTATATATGGGTGAATATGTTTCTATCAGGTATGTTACTTACACACAGGGTTTAAAATGCAGCATCAAAAAATATTAGCATTAGTCTTACAGAGCTACTGCTAAAAAATATTGACATTATGACTAAATCAGCAAACGGCTAGCTTTTTTAGTTCGTAGCATCCGTGCTAAGCACGTATTGCACATGCGAGTTTTTTTTGTTATGACTAATCGGCAGTACGACTACATATTCATATTTCGCTGCCGACGAATATCAGCCGAGGGTTGTTTTTATGTTTGTGTGTTGCCAACGCAGAATTAGAAAAACGACATTTCATTTTGTGCGTTTTTATTTAATTTAAGCTTGTCAAATCGCAATTTAAACTGTCAATAATAGTACTAAAAACTAAATAATATATTAAATTAAACTCTTTAGCAAGTATTACTAATTGTCTTTGTTCGAAAAAATGAAATTATCATAATCGCCATTTTTAATTATCTCATTTAATTTATAAAATTTCAATGGGCAACACTGAACTCGAAAAATGCTCGGGTTTTGTTTGCTAAAAATCTTGCTAAGCAGACACAGTCAAGGTGCTTAGTCTTCATTGTAAGCTTTGGTTGTTAGTCGCGTTGACAATTATGTTGTAGTTGTTCATTGCTATTTTGTAGCTGCTGACAAGATCAAGAAGCTTTAGTTTTGCTTGCTAAAATTATTCGTAATGTATTGCTATTTGTTGCAGTTGTGCTTGGCTGTGCTGCATAGTTTTAGGATGAATTTAGTTAGCAGTGCGCCAATTTTCTGTGTTTTTGGCGTTAGCATTTTAAACCCTGGTTACACATTTGGTTTGTTCCCGTACTGCAAGAATCTACAAGTTTTTTATCATAGTAAAAACTAGTAAATTCTTGCAGTGCGGATTTACATATCGCGTATGACAGTTCATATGCGAAAGTGTCCCAATCAATCTAAATACCCAACAAATGTCATAATAATAACAGTTTATTTATTGTCATTTAGTGCAAGTGGCATATTCTACTTATCTACATATGGAGCGCCACCTTTTGGTGTCGGAATGTACACACCAATGAATGGATAGTGTCTTCGATGTAAACGCCCGACTGGTTCATGACTTTAATAGTTTTTATAGTGAAAAATTTTATGTCTTGACTATAATTATGGATAATAAAAATTTTCGCGGAAAATTTTTTTATCCGTGAACAAAAAACATTGTTTTTTTGTTTTTCCATCCAATTTTTCGCGGAAATCAATCAACAAAATCAAAAAAATAATCAAAATCATTAATTTTGGAAAAAATTTTGATGAAAATTAATAGTATAACAGTTTTATAACAGTTTAACAGTTAACGGTGCCGCCATCTATTGATTGTTATTCACAATTGTAATGCAGGGTTCGTTACTTTGATGGTTGGTGCAACGAATAAATCCTCAACTAAAAGTGTTCGTTCGTATGCTTACGCGACATCTATTTATTTGTGAGATATGGTATGTGAAATGTTCACATATAAAAAAAATGCTTTATTTTTATCGTGGAAACAAGAAAATAAAATATTTTTCCCAATTATGAAAAAGTGCACGAAAATGGGTTAAATAATAAAACAAAAGAAACCAGTAAGGAAAGTAGTAAATAAAGTCGGACGGGGCCGACTATATGATACCCTTCACCACTATGGATATATTAAACAGGAAATTGGATGAAATAAAATATGTGATATTTATCTAAATGTGAATCTACCTATATATATATATATATATATATATCCATAAGTTATATAAATCGACTTCAATCAAATATAAATAGGTTATCTGTTGGGCTATGTCTGTACTTCTAGAAAACGCAACTACGTAATCTATGCTCAATTTTGTACGTTGTGCAAAATTTGATGTCAACCTGACTAGCATGAAGAGTTTGATGTTCAATTTACTTAAAATCGGGCGAAAATATATATGGAAGCTCTATCCAAATATATCGAAGGATATATAGGGACTTTGGTGCACCATTTACATGAAATCGGACGAAACTATATCTGAATCTGGGCCGATTTTCTCGAAACTGGTCAGAATCATTCTAGGCTCAATTCAGTACGTTATGCCAAATTTCCTGCAAATCGAAAGATATATAGGGACTTTGGGGCACCATTAGCATGAAATCGGACGAAACTATATATGGGAGCTATATCTAAATCTGGACCAATTTTCGCGAAACTGGGCAGACATCATTCTAGCCTCAATTCAGTACGTTATGCCAAATTTCATGCAAATCGAAAGATATATAAGGACTTTGGTACACCATTTACCTTAAATCGGAGGAAGATATATACGGGAGCTATATCTAAATCTGAACCGATTTTCACGAAACTTTGCACACATCTGCCATTCTACACTTAATTCAGTGCGCTGCCAAATTTCGTGCAAATCGAAAGATATATAGGGACTTTGGTACGCCATTTACCAAAAATCGGCCGATATATATGGGAGATATATCTAAATCTGAACCGATTTTCACAACATCTTTCGTGGCTCAATTCTGTACGCATGCCAAATTTCGTGCAAATCGAAAGATATATAGGGAACATGAAATCGGACGAAACTATATATGGGAGCTATATCTAAATCTGGACCAATTTTCGCGAAACTGGGCAGACATCATTCTAGCCTCAATTCAGTACGTTATGCCAAATTTCATGCAAATCGAAAGATATATAAGGACTTTGGTACACCATTTAAATCGGAGGAAGATATATACGGGAGCTATATCTAAATCTGAACCGATTTTCACGAAACTTTGTACACATCATTCTACACTTAATTCAGTGCGCTATGCCAAATTTCGTGCAAATCGAAAGATATATAGGGACTTTGGTACGCCATTTACCAAAAATCGGCCGAAACTATATATGGGAGCTATATCTAAATCTGAACCGATTTTCACGAAACTTGGCACACATCGTTCGTGGCTCAATTCTGTACGCTATGCCAAATTTCGTGCAAATCGAAAGATTTTCAGGGTCTAAAGTCCGTAAATCGGGCGAAACTATATATGGGAGCTATATATAAATCTGAACCGATTTTCACGAAACTTGGCACACATCTTTCGTGGCTCAATTCAGTACGCTATGCCAAATTTCGTGCAAATCGAAAGATATATAGGGACTTTGGGGCACCATTTACATGAAATCGGACGAAACTATATATGGGAGCTATATCTAAATCTGGACCAATTTTCGCGAAACTGGGCAGACATCATTCTAGCCTCAATTCAGTACGTTATGCCAAATTTCATGCAAATCGAAAGATATATAAGGACTTTGGTACACCATTTACCTTAAATCGGAGGAAGATATATACGGGAGCTATATCTAAATCTGAACCGATTTTCACGAAACTTTGTACACATCATTCTACACTTAATTCAGTGCGCTATGCCAAATTTCGTGCAAATCGAAAGATATATAGGGACTTTGGTACGCCATTTACCAAAAATCGGCCGAAACTATATATGGGAGCTATATCTAAATCTGAACCGATTTTCACGAAACTTGGCACACATCGTTCGTGGCTCAATTCTGTACGCTATGCCAAATTTCGTGCAAATCGAAAGATTTTCAGGGTCTAAAGTCCGTAAATCGGGCGAAACTATATATGGGAGCTATATATAAATCTGAACCGATTTTCACGAAACTTGGCACACATCTTTCGTGGCTCAATTCAGTACGCTATGCCAAATTTCGTGCAAATCGAAAGATATATAGGGACTTTGGGGCACCATTTACATGAAATCGGACGAAACTATATATGGGAGCTATATCTAAATCTGGACCGATTTTCACGAAACTTGCCAGACATCATTCTAGACCCAAATGATTAGGCTGTACCAAATTTCGTGCAAATCGAAAGATATATAGGGACTTTGGGGCACCATTTACATAAAATCGGACGAAACTATATATGTACCACAGTGTGGTGAAGGGTATAAAAAGGCACAACAGTAGTTCCTAAAAAATGTTATTACTTTAAAAAACGGTTTACCCAGAAATGCCAACATCTGATTAGCTGTTGAGTTAAGGTTGCTACTTTTCAAAAAAAAAAAAAAAAAAAAAAGCATTGGCGGTTTGGTTTTGTATTCGATGACTGAGCGGAATAAATTATACCACAACGTATGCTCCGGATCCAGGCATAAGCCGAAATTTTGACAGGAACGCAACTAGGATTGCATTCTTAGAAAGTTATAGAAGTTATATACAAGAAATAAAATATTTTCCCAATTATGAAAAAGTGCACCAAAATGGGTTAAATAATAAAACAAAAGAAAAAAGGCACAACAGTAGTTCCTAAAAAATGTTATTACTTTAAAAAACGGTTTACCCAGAAATGCCAACATCTGATTAGCTGTTGAGTTGAGGTTGCTACTTTTCAAAAAAAAAAGCATTGGCGGTTTGGTTTTGTATTCGATGACTGAGCGGAATAAATTATACCACAACGTATGCTCCGGATCCAGGCATAAGCCGAAATTTTGACAGGAACGCAACTAGGATTGCATTCTCAGAAATGTGCGCCTGAAAGTATGCTGGGAATAACAGCCACTTGACATTGGTGGATTCGTCAGAAGGAAATTCAGACAAGTACGATTATAGCGTACTAGCATAGGCCCGCTACGTCGTTAGCGGATCTTTTAAAAGTTAAAATAAATAAACACTAATTTAGCTACACAATATATTTTTGGATTAAGTATAAATTTGAAACAATTTAAATAATGATAGGTCCCATATCTTCAATTTCGTAAGAAAATCTCAGATCTTACTCCGCATTTCTTTCGAACAGAAACATTGATGCCTCTATCCTACTAAATCGAGTGCAGCTTATTTATATTAATACTTTCGGAAAGTGTACTATTGTGTCGATCCTTCAAATTGACTAATATAAATAGGAAGTTTCTCAAATTATGTTGTTCCTTCCTGTAATGGGAAAAAGTAGTAAGTTAAGGTACTTGTATATAGCACGGAATTGTAATTTTATATTTTGCACAGCGCATCATTTATTATACAGAGACCTGCCTTTATAAGGAAGCAATTTCCATTAAATTAAAAAAAACTCTACATCTACTCGTTCTGTCGTATACAATATTTAGTACTTTAAATATCAATGCCAAACAAAAGTGTAAAAATTGTTGTTTTTCATAGAAAAAGCCTTTTACCAAATTTAATATCCACTCGTACCGCCTTATACTATGTATTGTACTTTTTCGTTCATTTTAGAACTTATTTCTGGAAAATATTTATGTATAAATGTTTATTTTTATACAGAATCTCTGATCTTACTCCGTATTTCTTTCGAACAGAAACGTTGATGCTTCTATCATACTAAATCGAGTACAACTTACTTATTTTTATATTTTCTGAATGTGCACTATTTTCTCGATCCTCCCGATGGACACATGCAAATAGTACCATTATACGTTTTTTAAAACATGTAGTAAGTTTTAGTACTTGTGTACCATTATCATCATTTGTTATGCAGAGACATGCTTTTATAGCGAAGATTTCCATTAGAATTGCAGAAATTTAGTATTTCTGGTGCATTACGTGTTAGAAAATCCCCAATGAAAAAACTTTTCGGTATTTTTAATATATCCTCGTTTCCTATTTAGTAATTTTCACTAACAATTTTCAAAAAAACCTTCTTTAATTTGTTATAGCTAAATATACATATAAAATTTCGGGACTATACCTCTACTCGTTCTGTCGTATACAATATTTAGTACTTTAAGTACAAATATCATACATTGCGAAAATCATTGTTTTTCATAGAAAAAGTATTGTACCCATATTCTATATCTACCCGTACCACCGTATACAATGTGGTGTACTTTTTAATACATTTTAGAACTTAGTTCTACAAAATATTTGTGTATAAATGTTTATTGACATAGTTCTAGATAAGTATCTAATAATAAGTTCCTATATTTATCCGTTCTACCGTACACAATATTTAGTACTTGTATTCCATTCGTACTCTATTTGTTTATAATATACAAAACTACATGCCGAATTTCAGAATTATACTTTTCCCTACACAGTGC